TTCAATTTGCCAACTACGAAGAATTTGCAATTTCAAAAATTTTGATGTTCCTCTCCTTCGCTTAAAACTAACGCTAAATTTCGGCAATCTTTCACCACACCAACACACGCACACTAACCGTTATTCGCTGAACGCCGAGACCAAACCATCAGGCAATCGGTTATAAGTGAATTAGCGTGCTCGGAGCACAGCAGAAGCAGCGACAGTGAAGTCATCAGCTGTGGCGTCAAGTCAATAATACAAATCACTAACGCAAATCTTGAGAAACATTTTGGTATTTATTGAAAATTTCAGCAGCCCAAGTATGCGCCAAAGTTTGGAATGTTGGCCGCAAAGTGACTGAGCGATGGGAGAACAAGAAGCAAATGTAGCAAACATACATGCACACATACAGGCGAATACAATGTGCTTAGCACCTTAGATTAAGCAGAAATGCAATAAACGAAACTTTGGAAAACTTTGTGATAAAGCAAAAACAACAATAATGGAAATATGCAAAGCACACGGCTGCTGCCGTTGACGAGTGTGGCAAGTCACTGAGCAGTCGAATTTTGTACACTTTTAACCGAAACTACCACTCAACACAACAAAAACTACAATAACACTGCAAAGATCTCAAATTGACGCCGCTACAACAACTAAAACACCTAGCTTCTTGTTGTCTTCATTAGCTCACACCGTGAACGTATACTGTGCAATGTGTTGCACGTTCAGCCAGCGGCGCGTTGCAAGTCTCACGCGGCGAATAATACAAAAGTTTTCAGCAGCAAGGCTACTTAGCATATCATCAACATTTAAATCAGGTATCCACAAAACTTTTAACGGTGCTTTTAAGCGCATTTTAGTCCTTTTTAGCACGTTGTGGCGAGCCACCATCAACTGGAACAACAACAACGCAGCTCACGCACAAAATGTTTACAAAAGCTGCTGAAATATTAGCTGCAAGCAACTAGCGGTCGCCAATTGCCAATACTGGCTGCTGCTGAAAACTAAAGTCGTCTAAGCGAAAACTCCTGAAAGTATGCAATCTCGCCGCAGAGTAATGCCGTTAACGCACAGGTGCTGATGCGCGAGCCTTGCAAGTTTCGTGTTGGCGTGGCAATGAGTGCGTTACGTATGCAAATGTTTAATAATATATGTGCTATACAGGGTGATTCATTAATTTCTATACTTTTTTTGTTCGCTCAAAGAAAAAATTTGATTTTAACATGTCTGTTCTTCTTTTCCCTTCACTACCATCAGCTATTTCGCTTGCATAGGTCCGGTTATTTCACGCACCATTTTCATGCAATTCGGCATCACCGCTTTTGTACTCTGCCTCACCGCCGTCAATTATGTCGCCTTCGAGCGTGACACTGCACAAATGCTCATTGCTGCCACATACATATTTGCTGTACTAATTGAAGCTCTACCCTGCTGTTGGTATGTGAATTCGCTTATGGAGGAATGCGCTCAACTCACCACCGCAATGTATGAGTGTCGTTGGTATGAGCAGAATAGGAAATTTCGCAAAATGCTCATTATTTTCATGCAGCGTTCGCAGCTTACGCTGGCGCTGATGGCAGGCAATTTGGTGCCGATTACTTTGCAGACTTTTGTGAATGTGAGTTGCAAAAACAGAACTGTGTTTTGAGAAAACCTGTAAAAACAATCCATTGCTACTTTTAGAGTTAAATAAAAAATATTTATTTTTTTACGATTTTTTGCAGATAATTAAATTTTCATTCTCAATGTACACCATTTTAAAGGGTTAGGGAAATTTGCAGCAGCGATATTTTAATAATAATAAAAATACTTCGAAATATATACGTAAATCTGAGGAAAATTATCGGTAAATCAAATACGTACCAGTATATATATTAAATTAATAAAAATAAAGAACAAAAATAAAAAAAACTATTATTTTTTAACAAAAAGCAAATATCTCATGATTTACGACTTCATATCTAGCTATTTTTCTAAAAATATATATTTATTTTATTTTATTATTTTGTATTGAATTGCATTGTATTTTATTTCAATTTGTTTAATTTTTTTAAATATTTTATTTTATTTTACTATATTTCATTACATCTTATTTAATTTTTTCATATTATTTCTTTATTTTATTTTAAATAATTTTTATTTAACTTTATTTTTTTGTAATTTTGTTTGTTTTATTAAAGTTTATTTCATTTTATTTCTTTTTATTTTATAATATTTTTTTTATTTTGTGTTATTATAATTCAATTTATTTTATTTTATTTTATTTTATTTTATTTTATTTTTTCTTTATTTTATTTTATTTTATTTCATTTTTTCTTTATTTTATTTTATTTTATTTTATTTTTTCTTTATTTTATTTTATTTTATTTTATTTTTTCTTTATTTTATTTTATTTTTTCTTTATTTTATTTTATTTTATTTTATTTTATTTTATTTTATCTTATTTAATTAAAACTTATTTTAATTAATTTGTTTTATTTTATTTAATTTGATTTTATTTTAATTTTATTTTACTTCATTTTATTTTATTTTTATTATATTTTATTTTATCTGATTTAAATAAGACTTGTTTTATTGTATTTTTTTATTTAGTTTGTCTTTATGTTATTTTGTTTTATTTTATTTTATTTTATTTTTTAATTTATTGGATTTGTTTTATTTTACTGAGTTTATTTTTTTTATTTCATTTCATTTCATATATATTATTTTATTTTGTATATTTTATGTTATTTTACTTTTTTCTATTTTCTCTTTTTATTTCATATTTTTCTATATTATTTAATTATTTTTTATTGATTTTTTATTATTCTATTGTATTTTCTTTTATATTATTTAACTTTTGAATTTTTTATTTCATTTTATTTTAGTAGTCATCCCTGTTTTTTACGTGTCTCATGCCGTGTAATTAACACCACAAAAATAATCACTATGTTGGTTATTGTATAACTTGCATTATATATATATATTTTTTTTTTTTTTTGTAATGCGTGTACTGTTAACACCTTATTGTTGATTTAAAACTTTTGAATACATAAAATTTAAAATTTCAATTATACATACAAACAAACGGCCAGTTCCTTCCTTACTAAGGTGTCAAAATGTGGCATAACCGTTAACAATCGCGTGCACGAAAACTAATTTGAACTTTTGTTATAAATATGCGTGACATTATTATTTTGATGCAAAGTAAATTATAATTTCACGCTTAGCCCTTAGTTGGAAGATTTGTCAACATTTTATTAGGGCGGCACATTCCCTTTTACCAAAGCGAATAACTTTCAGTTTTGATGATAGGATAGGTTTCACCATGTCTGTTGGGAGGTTGCCCCAGCACACCGGAGTGACGCTCTCGTTAAACCTGCTGACATAACCATTCTGAACAATTTGTGATGAGTCGAAGAAAGACGGAGGAGTATGATGTCAGAAATTCTGATATTCAACCCGGTTGGTATACGTTTTGCCTCCGAACCATACGTCAATCAAAAGCACAACAGACGTATCAGAACGAAAACTCTCCAAAGTTTACTAAGGATTTCGGACTTTGCTGGGGACAGACAGACGCGAAATATGTTCCCAGTTCTTTAGATGTGCCGAGATCCTACCAACGACTCAGATAAGGTAGGCGGAAAATTGGCTTAGAAGCAGTTGAGACTAGTCTTATTCATCGGTAGTATCTAACGATAGGTCCCGAGTAAACGAGCTGGTTCGATATGTAGATTTTAGGCGGATAGTATAGTGCGGGGTCTCATTGCGTGCAGTCGGGGTCAAGCCTGGTTAAGTAGTGCGAGTAAGTGCGACATTTACTTGGGTGTCTCGAGTTGCTATAGCTCTTTGTCTACAATATATGGTGGTTGGTTTACTGTACGCCATTCAGAAGAAAATAATTTATGATGGTTTTGAAGGACACTCGGTGAATGTCGTCTAAAGTCTGTAGGTACGCCATCCTGTTCGTCGTTTTTCAATGCTGTGTGCAGTCTAGTACTCCCTTTCTGATGCTCCCCACTGGAAATTCGGTCAGGTAAGTTTCTATTGAGATATTCCCGATCCAGCATATACGGTTTTGCTCCGATGCTTCACTGTCCCTCTCTCTCTCTCTCTCCGGGGTGCTGGCGGCTAACGATTTGAGAGTTTGGTTGCGGTTCGTTATGGTTGTGGCAATCGCAGTCATATGCGGAGTGAAACAGTGCAGCCTGACAAATGTGTCTACCAGTAGCTTGAGGTTATTTCCTGTCGAACTTTTTAAATCATTGAGTTTTACATCAAGTTGGAGCTCCTACGTCCCGCTAGTGAAATGGGTAGCCTAAGATTTGGCTGGTTGTAGTTGCATTTTTTGTGCAGTCGGCCAACATTCCCTTCTTTCGTGTTGTATAGTGTAATGACGTCGACAACAACATCCGATTGATTGGATTTAAGAGTTTTGCTGGGAAAAGTGATCTGCCAACGAGATAGATGACAGCTCACCAGTTTCAAACGTTTTCTTTACAGTAACTACTCTTGGAAGCCGCTGAGAAGGAAGTAGAGGCTTTCTCATTGTTGGAAAATTATATGAGAAAGTACCTTCTTCACTAGGAATAGGAGAAACAATATCTGTAAAGGGATAACACGAAATCGCATTGGAACTTAATATATTTGAGATATCCTTTCGTTTACTTGATAATCTAAGTCCTAATTTAGTTGGAAAAGTTCCTCGGTTGAATGGTGAGCATAAAGATTTGTTAAGTGTTTATTGTTTTTAATTGAATTGTTAAAAATCAATACGGAAGCACAGGAAGTTCCCATCAACCCTATTATTTTATTACAATTTTTTTTGTAAACGAAATTTCCAACCCTTCCACGGAGTGTCCTCACTTATAGTATTAATTATGCCTCACCTCCTAATAATCATTGTGTCACTTCGAAAAAATCCAAAATTATTAAGCATTTGTTGTATAAATACTAGCACTTATGTAACAACAACACATTTTTATAAAATTCGTCCAAACCCTAAACAACTACGATCGCTAACAAAACCGCCAATGACGAAGCAAGAGCAAGCAACGCCAACTCGTTTGGATTCCGGTGACGCAACACGTTATGTGTGGCTATTTTGGAGCATAATCGGCATACATCCCTTCAAGAAACATCGCACTCTCTACTGGCTATATTCTGTACTGCTTAACTTCTGCTGCTCAGCATTTTTCATTGCATTTTATGCGGTCACCTTCTTCGTCGTCAGTGACTTATTGGAAATACTCGCAAATCTGAGCGTAATGGTGCCGTTGATCTATAACACAGCGAAACAACTTGTAATCTTCTATCACATCAGACGTACTTTACCACAAGCAGCGCTACATTTGCACGCTTTAGATAGGCGCGCGGAACAGGAGCCCGCGGCGCGTGAACAGCTGAAGCGTTTGGTGCAACTCAGTCATCGCATATTCCTCACTGCGCTGACGGGCATTGGCATCTGCTTGACACTCTACGCTATGGGTGGCATACTGAGGCACAGATTGCCCTTCGACGGTTGGTTGCCGCTCGATTGGGAGCACTCGGTGGGCGCTTATGTGGCAGCCTGCGCCTACCAGCTCTTCTGTCTGATTGTGCAGTGCATTGCAGCTTTGTGCAATGACACATATACCGTTATATATTTATTACTGTTAGCCACACATTTGCGCATCTTAAATGCACGCATTGCAAGTTTGGGTCATGGTGAGTGTACGGAAGTGGAAAACTATCGGCAGTTGGCGGCGTGTGTACGCGATCACTGGGCGTGCATGAAGTGAGTTTGTATTTTTGGCTCCAAATTTTCTGGAATAATTAACAAAAAAAATATCTATACATTTTTTCCGCTCTTCTACAGCTTCTACAATAGCATTCGGCCTGCCATTGCGGCGACACTCTTCATACAGTTCTTCAGCACCGCCATTACGCTCTGTACATCCGCTGTGGCCTTCGTCAATGCTGAAGATAGCGTAGCGCAGTTATTTAAATTTTTGCCTCATCTGCTGGTTGTAGTTTGTGAAATTTTGCCTTGTTGTTGGTTAATGGATAAAGCTGCGTTGGAAATGCAAGATCTCACGAAGTCTCTATTCGCCTGCCGTTGGTATGAGCAAAATCAGAAATTTCGCCGCTCGCTGCTCATTTTCATGCAACGCTCTCAGAAGGTGGAGAAAATCTTGGCTGGCGACTTAGTGCCGGTCTCATTGGAAACCTTTGTTAATGTGAGTTTTGATTTTTCCGAATTTGGTTTGTGCTCTTTGGAGCTTAATTTGATTTTTATTTTCAGATCATAAAATTTACCTTTTCCTTATTCACGCTTCTCAATCAATTTAAGTAAAAAAATAGCATTGTTTTAAAATTCAATTTAAAATAATATTTATTTGGGAATTTTTCAACAATTATTATTACATTTCTTTAGAAAATATATATGTATATGTGTTTAGAAATTTGTATGAAAACTTCAGTGCTGAGGAAAATTTGTGAAATTATTCCTGTTTCAAATACAAAATAAATTCTGAGTCTCCGAAATAAAACTCGAGCAGCAAAAAAAATATTTTTAAGGATCAAGAACTCCGAACTTAATAAGATTCACAATATTTAATTTTCCCTTTGTACCCACTGAAGTGATTGTGGGCCAAGCTCCTTCTATAACTTGTGGTTTTGCTTCTTGATGTTTCCCAGCAAATGGAGGGACCTACACTTTATACCGGGCCAACTTCGAAAGGCCGATTTATTTTTATGAATAGCCTTGATTTCCAATTATTTTTTCAAAAATACCGACGGCTGACCGGAATTAAAAAAATGAATTTCCTATAATTTTGGTAGTTTGGCCAAACCAAGACTCGAATATAACCCTTTGGAAAGTTAATACACAAGGGCTAACAAGTCTGCTATTACGAGCCAACGTTGCCAATCTTCGTCATAAGTTGTAGCTTGGCTGGAGCGATTTCCACATCTAATAGTATGGGTGTTATAAGAAAAGTTGCATTGTGTTTGAGTCTCTGCCTTTGCTGCCTTGTTGCCAATTTTCTCACATGCATCTCTTTTCTAATAGCGTTTACCATTTCTTATAAACCTTATCACAAAAATAATAATATTACCAAAAATGATTTATAATCATAGTAGCAATACCTGAAAATGTCTTAAAAAAATGCAACGTTGCCAATTTTCACCGCTTAAATTGTGAGAACACCAAAAGCGTTAGATGTAAATATTTTTTTTGTCAGTCCCTTAACTGAATGGTAACTAAAGAATACACCAAGACGCAACATGCAGGAGGAATTTTAATCGCGCTGATCTTACTCTACGGGACTTTGGTGTGGTGGACCGTGATCAATAAAATCTCATAACGAAGATGCATCAGTTCTTTGCATTCTGAATATCGGATGTCATGTAAGCAGCAAGCTTTAGATAAAAGGCAGAGTAAAAATGATAACTTTAATGCAATCAAACTTTATCTGGGAAAAAAATATTTCAATCCACAGTTAAAAAAGGCACAGAAACCTGCGTCATTCAAGCAGACAACATCAACTATGTATTGACGGTCAGATGTAAATTAAAGCAATAACACCAAACATTTTATGCGGCTAAAATTTTTATCAGAAACAGAGATGAAGGGAATAAGCTCCGTGGAAATGCATATCTTCTCTAATCTATGCTAAAAGACACATGTCAGCTCCTGAACCAGTAAAAGATATACGAACATTCATCAAAATATTGTATAAAGAAATATGCAAAAGGACTGGGAGACGAATCTGGTTGAAATAGATGCAAGATTGTCTTTCATGAACAATGAAGGAAAATTACACCAATATTTTGTTCGTGTGGTCGCGAAAGTATCGCATTGGCCTTAAGACGGATCTCAACCTACTGACACTACACACGAGAAAAATGGGCGCTAGTAACACTAACAAATGTAGGAAGTGCAAGGTAGAAAGCAAAACGGTGGAACATCTCCCCTACCTCTGTCCGGCCTTGACTAAAACTGACCTTAGACAGCTCAGAGCTTCCATATTCAAAATTCTATATTAAGTGTCAGAATTGGATATCAAGTGTCTGCGAAAAATTTCTAGCTCAACAACTAATTTAAGATGAAAATCCTAATGGCTATACAAAATACCAAAAGCTCTAGATAAAGTGCAATATACAGACAGTTTAGTCTACGAAATCCAATATGTCGCATCTTCCGTCCGGTAGTTTTCAATTTCCATAAAAGTAAATATAAAATCATTGTTACAAGTATTAAGTAAACTGAAGGCCTGGTTTGTTTGGATGAATTGAATATTTTGTTATACAACAAAAAAAATTGGTAGAAGTGAAAGCTGTTTCGGAGAACATCACATCTCCCCATCGGACTTCTTATGGCAGGGATCGAACCAACGAATCCTGACTTAACCAGCGAGTGCTCAAACATTGCGCCAACATCAGTCATGTAATCCGTTGTATTATAAAATCATTTCTTTAACTAACTAGACATTGTTGCCAATTTTCATAACTGAAGCGAAGGGCTTCATAGTGGCATTGCAAGACACTTTTCCAAAAGTTCGTTCGAAGTAAGGTTTTTGCAGCAACGTTGCCAATTTTCATTATGAATAAAAACTGAAACTCCGTGAAACATTTTTAATTCGATTTTTATTTGTTTACTTTTTGTTTTTTTGATATGCAATAATTACGTATTACCTTCGTTCTCCTAATAATTAAATACAATTTTCCTGCTTTAATTATAATCAACTCTCTGGTATCTAATTAGTATAAATATTAGGTCAAATGTGTTCGTGGAATGTCCAATAATAAAAAAAAATTGGTACGTAGGGACAAAGTATAAATTTATTTCTCAAAAGTATTCATACGACCTTAATAACAAATCAAATTAAAGAAATCACACGACAAAGAGTCACCCTGTCTGAAACCTCGTTTGATATCGAACGACTCGGTGAGGTCATTCCTAATGCTGACTGCGCTCCTGGTGTTGTCTAGCGTCAGCTTACACAGCCGTATAAGTTTTGCAGGGATACCAAATTCAGACAAAGCGGCATAAAGGCAACTCCTTCTCATGCTGTAGAAGGCGGCTTTAAAATCGGTGAAGAGGTGGTGTGTGTAGATTTTCTTTCCACGGGTCTCTTCCAAGATTTTGCGCATGGTGAATACTTGGTCAACGGTTGACTGACCAGGTCTGAAGTCACACTGATAAGGTCCAATCAGTTTGTTGGCGGCCTTCAGCCTTTCACCCAATACGCTCGACAGGGCCTTATAGGCGATACTAAGGAGGCTTATCCCTCGGTAATTAGCGTAGACTGTGGGATCCCCCCTTTTATGGATTGGGCAGAAGACACTTACATTCCAATCGTCGGGCATGCTTTTGTCCGACCATATTCTGCAAAGTAGCTGATGCATGCATCTTTTCAGCTCTTCACCGCCCTCTTAGAACAGTTCTGCCTATAGGCTGTCTGCTCCCGCGGCTTTGAAGTTTTTTAAGCGGACGCTTACTATTTGAACTTTCTTCATGGTCAGGTAATGGAACGTCTTTTCCATCGTCATCGATTGGGGTTTCGGTTTCACCATCTCCGGATTGTTCATTTTCACTGCTATTCGTCTGGGTATCGGTGGTTAGATTACCTCTTTGTGTTCTACAAGAGTCTTCTCCGGTCTTGAAACCTTCCGTAAGCCGTCGTTTCTTCTCATAGAATTTTCGGCCGGACACAACTCCTCCTTTTTATTTTAACAAAAATATTTATTTGGATTTGAACCACTGTCCATGGGCTTTAATTAACATTATTTAATGACTTAATTATTCCCCATCGATACAGAAGTCTTTGTTGAGGTTATTTGAATCACTTCAAAGTCTTTCTGGAGCTCACAACTTCAACAGTTAAGAGTTAAGTTACGCGCTCACAAGAGTGTGTTTAGTCCTTTTAAAAGCGACAAAATATGTCCAACAAAGCAGCAACTGCCGCACAGTCAACAACACCACTCCAGAGCAGTGATGCATTCAAACACATTTGGTTGTGCTGGCGCTATCTCGGAATGCATCCAACCACACGCCATCGCCATCTTTACTTGATCTCCTCGCTGCTGGTACATCTCTTCACTGGACTCCTCTATCCTTCGTTGTATTTGGCTTCTATTTTCGTCGATATTGATTTCTCAGATAAACTTGCCAATCTGAGTGTGGCTATGCCGCTCTACTACACGGCCGTCAAGCAATTGGTTATGTTCTATTACATACAAACAGATCTGCCGCATGCTACAAAGCATTTACAAGCGCTCGACCGACGTGTCGAAGAGCGGCCAGAAGATTACGTTTATTTGAGGCAGACAGTGCGTTATGGCGCTTGGAGTTTCTTTGCGATTTTCTTAGGATTTTGGAGCGCTCTAATAAGCTACGGCCTTATTGGCCTGCTGCGTCACAGACTGCCTTTCGAGGGTTGGCTGCCGTTTGATTGGAAAAACTCTATGGGCGCCTACGTGGGTGCCGGTCTCATACAGTTGTTTGCTGTGGGTATGCTGCTTACAAATGCCGTTTGCTGTGACTCATATCCATTGGTGTATTTGAGTTTGTTGGTGGCGCATTTGCGTATTTTGAATAAGCGCATAGCGCGCTTGGGCACCAGCAGAAAAGCGACGGCGGTGGAGCATTACCAACAGTTGGCGGCTTGCGTGGAGGATTATCGTGAGTGTATGAGGTGTGTTTGGGAGAATTTTACTAAATTTTTGAATTATTTATTCATAAATAAATGCCTCCCTTCTAGTTACTATCAATGCATACGCGCCTCGATTGGCGGCACAATATTCGTGCAACTCGTTAGTACGGCGCTGAGCCTTAGCACACCGGCTGTGACTTTCATTAGCGGCGATTTCAATTTCTCACAAATGTTGAAATTTCTACTTTTCTCCTCTGCGGTTATAGTGGAAGCTGCACCCTGCTGTTGGCTGATGGACGTGGTTTTATTGGAGATGCGCAGTTTGACTCATTCAATATTTTCGTGTCATTGGCATGTGCAGAATGCGAGATTTCGTCGCTCGTTGATTATTTTCATGCAAATCTCACAAAAAGTGGATCCACTGCTGGCCGGGCACATTGTACCGGTTTCGCTGGATACATTTACAAATGTTGGTTCTTATCTTTTCTTTCAATTATTTTATTATATTCAAATATTTCCTTCTAACTTTCAGATAATCAAATTCGCCTTTTCACTCTTCACCCTACTAAACCAAATTAAATCAAAATAAATTTATTCAACCTCAAAACTTTTAATAAAGAAAATCAAGAAAAAGCCTTAAACACAGGAAAAGATGGTTTGCTTTTACAATAAATGTAGAGAAGGCTGAGAAGAGCCGTAATCTTGCTATGGAAAATTTGTTTTTTCTCTTATGTTTTACCTGTTCTAATTGGTTTTGTGAAAAAGGTAATGGTTAAAAACTGATTAACTGGTTGAAAATATATACAAAACTTTACAAATCTCATGCTGAAACCTTTCCAGAAAATCCCTCTAGTCATGGATGTAAAACGCATGAAAATCCGCTTAGTAGTTTTTGAGTTCATCGCGAACAGACAGACAGTTAAACGCCGAGTGAAATTCCTTTTATGTATACAAGAATTATTTTCTCTTTACAAAAAATTTTACACTAATAAAGTACTCTTAGTGGCTCGTAAAAAGTCATCAATTTACTGGTCTATAGAAGCGTAACATCTAATCCTCTAACTTATTCAGGGACGGACGATGGAATTTGTACTGCAGTAATTTTGTTTGGAGACTGGGACTTGTCATTATTTGAGCAACTATTTATTATATATCTTAAGAGAAAAGCTTTGAAATTAGTTTATCTTCGAAGAACTTGATTTCCATCGCCTCTTTTGTTGGCCAATCTTTCATCATAAAGAGAGTTTTAAAGCGACAAAGGGATGAGATTGTCAGATAGTGCTAACCTCAATATAATGACGCATGTAATAAAAAAAAATTTTTGCTCACTCATCTTATATTTATGTATTTTTTTTTTTTGACGCTCTTCTCAGAGCTTATTGCTGGTTGCTTAACTCTTGAGCGCAGTGCTCAAATTCGACCGTCTCAATATGTTGCAGCAGCTCCTTATGTCCTTCCGAATCCGCTATATACTCCACACATCACCTTATTTGACGTTAATTGAGACTTCGAGATTGTTTGTGGCGAGCTATCGGCTTCTGCTTCGGCTCTTTTTCATTCTACGTTTCGGAAAAGTTTTGATTTTATTGCTTCAGAGACTCTTCAGTGACGATTATTTGGAAGAAATTTATGTGGCATCCAAATATTGAGCTTATTAAATAGTCAGACTTCTTGTAATGTTTCCAAATTGCCACTTGAATGACGGTTAATGCCATCGCCAACCCCTGAAAGCTTGCATGCCGATCTTGTACCACCAATTCCCAAAATTCAAGGACTTGTTGGATAACTGGCGGACCAGTACGAGGTGCATTGTGGACATTAAAATTACCGAAATGTGATTGAGCAGATCTCTCCTGGATCCGCATTTCTCTTACAATATTCCTATCGTAAGCTACACACATTTTCTACTCATTTTGCTGCCGTCAAAGCGAATTTTAGAAGATGAAGTAGTCACATCATATGATTGCTTGTTCTTTCGCCATTTGCACATACATTTGCTTTCTGTTCTTGCTACTGCGGTGTGTAAATTTGGTTACAGGGTAACTTAGCTGCGGTTTTTTTTTTAATCAAAAGTATTTGTACGAAAATTTGACTCATTTCAAAATCAATATAACTTTTCTTGCAAATGACGATTTACAGAACTGTTTTCAGGAAAAAAATTGATCATAATTACTGTTTTCAAACTCGTGGACTCGCTTTCCTGAAATTATAAGCTCGATACCTCTCTGAGGCCGATGCGATATACTACGTCCTTCATAATAAAAATTTCAAAATTCTCTAAACCAAAACTAAAGCTTTAAACTACTTTTGTGTGTGTGTGCATAGAGTAAGTCAATCTCAAAAATAACAGTAATTTTTTATGTGTGCCCAAATAGTATCAGTGCACTGATAACACAACTCAGTGGGCCCGGCAAGCTTAATTACACTCAAATCACAAAAAAATGAAAAAAGAAATTACGAGAATAAATCTGCAATATGTTTGTGTGTAAGTATGATTGCCAAAAAACGGCAAAAATGAAATGTAAACTTAGGCAGCGACAACATAAATTATCCGAAAAATGCTGATTTCGCAGCACCGACGATCTGCAGCCAGCAGGAGCAGAAGCAGCATCAGCGGCGAGCATAAATTTCTGCTCTTACAAGCAAGCAAGCCACACGAATACAAGTACAAATAAGCAAAATATGAAGAGGAAAAAGCAGCAGCAGCGAGATTGAGCAGTTACCGTTAGAGCGTGCGAGTACACGTACAATTGAAATGGAGCAAAATGAGCAAAAACTTAATATTGCCAAAGTTAATTGCATTGTGTGTAATGTTTTGTTGGACGCAGCTCCCAGCAACCGCTTCATCAGCAGCATGGCAGTTATGTTTGTACGTACGTAGATTTCCATGTATGTTAGGGACGACAGACTTGCTCACAGACGCCCATCTTCCATGACCGTTCGCAGGTTTCCTGCATATCTTAGTTGAAGTCCGCACTGTGTCCTTCAACTCAAATCGGCTGCTGCTCAGTCGCCTGTTTCGGCGTACAGTTTTTGTTTCTGTCGTTTCAAGCGTGAATGCCAAACACCACGCCCAGCACTTCAACTTGAACATACACACACACACACACACACACACACATGTTACATCGTTATGCTTTTATCATCTTATTTGTTGTTTTCGTGCAGCCGAAACCCTTGAGCTTGCGATCCTGTGTGGTGCTATGGTATATTTCCATTTCAATTTTACAGCAGATCCATCATGCTTAATGGCCCTGGTCACATGAATATCTTTGGGTTTCTGCTTGCCTGCACCGAAGCGTCGTTGCTTGAAATTCCAAGTGCCCCCACACGCTTTTGCGACTGCTTTACTCTGCGTCGCTAGTCGCCATTAGACTCGGCTCTGCTCCTCAGCGCTCTGCAACTTCCTCCCTCCTACCTCGTTGGTTAATATGTTAATTTATGAGCGGCTGCGTTGTGGTAATTTGCTCGCATGCAGATTAGATGCCGATTTGGTGGCATCGTCGGTCGGTTGGTTGTTCGGTTGGTTCGTTGGTGGGGACAATGGTGTTGTTGATGGCGTTATAATTGCCGAAAATTCGCATATTAAAGCTGAATGAAATTGTCTGTCCACTTGGTTTGATTTGCTTCGTTTACTTCTATAGTTTCACAGTAATTGTGTGTTTGTGTGCGAATGAATGCACATTAGGCCAACGCTGCGTATGAGTGACATTTGGTGACTTCAAAATGGGCAGGAGGGGAAATTCACAGAACTTAAGTTCAGAGATAAAGAAAGCCTTTGGAATGCAAAATAATTTAACAGCTGAAAGACACCTTCAGACATATATAAGCCACAACTTAATATCAAACGGTAAGATTGGCCATGGAGCAAGGCTAACAAAAGCAGCTATGGTATTGTTCCACACGGTTGGCAGTCAGAGAAGCAAGCTTCCTTTAATATAGAAGAAATTCTTTAACGCATTCACTGTAACTCTGTCTTCTAAGTAAATATTGTGATTTATTTAAGGAGCCAAACTGGCAGCCGCTTTAACAAGGAAATCCATAAGGTCACAAATAGCAAGATTCGTGTATTTAAATCCCTTTTAGGCTCGTATTTAATTTATGGAAATATTTTTTTCCTCATATCGGTCGCCGCCCGGAATGTAGCCGTAGATGAATTGAAATTAGTCTCATAAAATTCCAACAGCCGTTCGGCAAAATCTGCAAGTTTCTCAGTTTCTTGGAATAAGAACACATAAGAGCACAGTTCTAGAGGAATATCATCACTTCACATGCGTAAAGGTGTGACTCTTGCAACATTTCTTAGAATGGCTTAGAAAAATATTTTCTCAGTTACAATACCAACAACTGAAAAAACGCTTGCTTTGCCGTTGCATGGCCTTCAGACGATAAAAAATATTGCTATGCTGAATGGGCTCGATCGAAAGGAAGCAAATTTATCAGTTCAAAAAATTGAGTAAACTGTTCACGAATGCATATTTTGGATGCGTAAAGATGCACAATGATCCTGATTTAAGTGCACCTGCTCGCGTTCTAGTCCTTAGTGATTCAATATTACTCATCCAATCAAATAACCACGGTTAATATGGTTGTATTTACTCTTCTAAACTCCTCCCCAAAGCTTTGAGCGTGTATGAGGAATGGCAAAAATGTGCCATAAAATGTGTGTGGTTTCCTGGATTCCGTGCCTTAAAAGTTCATGACAAAAAATGCCGATGAAATTTGGCACTTTATAGAGTGAGACGTAACAGCTTTTCGAAATGCGACAAAATCGAACACTTTATGAAATGTCTCATCACTGGCGATGGAAGTCCCAGGTCAAGGGCAAACAAGGAGATACTGAGTGTTTGATGGAATTGGAATTATCCAGTATGAGCTACTTTAGTCTAGCGATAAGTCAAAAAATTTGAGCTCTAATGTCGACAATTAAGAGGAATTTACAACGAGTTGTCAAAACAAAAAGTTCCAGAGTTGATCAATAGAAATGATGTTGTGTTTCATCATGACAATGCCACATCACTTACAAACATTTTCGATGAACATGCAAATACTCCCGGAGCTTGGTTAGGAACTTTTGATGCTTCCACCAAATATTCCGGAGCAAGCTCATTCTGATTCTCTTGATTATAAAAATCTGGCCGAATACTAATAAAATTATGAAGCTACACGAAAAATAGCAAAACATCACAGATAACAATGGTCAAAACGTAAAATTAATATTTTGGTTTTTTTTCCAAACTTTTTCTGAGTGCACATGACTTTTCGGCCTTCTCTTTATGGACAGTGAAACCGATAAATGCACAATAAATAAACACATACATATACACATGAACTCAAGCTCTTGACCAATAACTTTGTGTCAAAGGAAGCAAACGTATGAGCAAGCAACACATAGCCGGGAAATGAGTACAAGGTTGACATGAAATTCTGCTAGTGAGAGCCTCAAGGTCGTGACGGTGTGACTAAAAAAAAAGAAACAAAAAAATCAAAATTTTAGATATGCTTGGAAACAGGAGATAAAAGTTGCAGTCAAAATGGCCAAAATGGCACCGAATGTTAAACCGTGTTGGGCGACACTACGGTCAAAAATGTTAGAATAATCAATTTGCGTCGTGTAACTTTTAATGAATATGTCGCTGTATGCTCTCTTATGCCCTTACCCAAGTCATATATGTAAAGTGAAGTACTCCTTTGCCAAATGCACCGTGTCTCCTGTGAAATTTACATAAAAGCATTAACAATGAGTGACACATTTTACAAAAATCCTCCTTCAACCAAATATTGTTAGTTGTTGGTCTTCCTGATGCTGTCACTGCAACTCTGCAGTTGAAAGGATTGTGTGTTCTCTGACTTAACATTGTTGTATTGTACATTTACGATATAAATGTTGTGACGTAGTGCGAAGGTTAAGGTTGGTCGATAGTATATAAAAATTAAAATCAAAATGAAAATAAAAATAAAAATAAAAATTAAAATTAAAATTAAAATTAAAATTAAAATTAAAATTAAAATTAAAATTAAAATTAAAATTAAAATTAAAATTAAAATTAAAATTAAAATTAAGTGACGCACACCCTATGGCATGTGTATTCTTAGACTGACAGCCACAACGCTTAACAGCCGATTGAAAAACATTTCATGCACCGCACTTTAGTGGAGTAACAAAGACAACAATGAAAGGGGTACAAGCATTGACAGTTAGAATGCCACCAGCAACAACAAGTTATATTCGTAAAGTATTGGCTCCGAAAGTGAAGCTCAAGTCAAACAATCGGCCAACCAGACAAACAAGATTTGGTTAGAAACTACTTTTGAGTATTTTCAGGTTGAAAGTTTGGGGTTGTGCTGGAGCTGTAAAGTTTCCCAATTGCAGTATTGGCTAGTTTTTGACAGCAATCGAAGGCATGCACAAAAACATACACACATTTGCTTGACGTAAACACACCAAAAGGGCAAGATGGAATGGATGCAAGGGTTTCCTCATCTCAGTTGGAGTTCTTCTAGTAAAATACATGGCCTTTTATATATGTATATGTATATGTGCAGTATTTCTTATATGCCAGCCCATCACAACTACCAATTTTTGGTGGACACTCTACACGTTCAGGATGTTTTCGTTACTGAGGTCATTGATTGAAAAGTTATTGAGTGCATGATTAGTTTGTTGTTATCTCTCTCATCACACTTCTCCGGTTATGTACTTGTATGTTCCTAAATTAATGTTGTTTTAGTTGCCTTCCTCTCTTTACACACTTTGTGTATACAATTATTTTGTATCCTTCTGAGTGTGCTTTTAGGTCTCAGCCAAATTGTTTCACTTTTCTCTCGTTATCGAAAGGTTTTGTTTATTATGCAGCTCAGCTTACGCACAGCATTTTTGGTTTATCTACTCAAATGAATGATGTATATATATCTAAAGTAAATGAAGGTACCAACCTGGGTGTTAATGATTACGATACAGGAAGTTCCGGAAGTGTTGAAGATGGTCTTGTTCTACCTTCATTATATTGCTCGGGCTGTAGGGTTGTAAGAATGAGCCATTTCAGCAAAGGAATCCCTCAAGGAGGAGCTCTAACGCTTCTTCCATAATTGCAAACAAACCGCAGATTACAATGTAAGAGTTCGAGGATATAATATAAGGTAGAAGAGTTCACCTGCTACACTGGCAAAAGCTCTGAAGAATGAGATTGTGAGGCTTTTACTACTTTTACTACCGAGTAGATCTCTGGTAAGCAATTCGAAAATTTCATAGACCATAGAGAATAGCACGCTTAAGTATACGTGGAGCAGGCCATACCTACTGAAGCCATGAATGCACTCTTGGCTCCACCCGGCACAATGCCACTTGGGCGGCGTAAAGACTGTAAATGTGTATGAACGGAAACAGAATTGACGGACCACTCCATAACCTGCACTGAATGGGAGGCAATTGGATAGGAGTAATAGCATCGGAAGACTATTAAGAGGAGATTATGGTCGGCGTTAGCGGCTACAGCCTTGTTTCTTGAGCGCTCAAAAGCAAATATTCTCCGAGTTATGCCTAAGATATCCACAAATGCAACGAAATTTGGCAGAATTTGCGTGGCGCCTAATTGAATGAAGTAGTGTTGCAAATGTGATGAACAGGTTAAAGCTTTCGTGTGGAAAAAAAAACTATTTCAAATCTTTTTTATATATGTTTATTTTCGAAATGCCAAAATGGACAACGCTTTATATATATATATATATATATGTATATTTATCAGAGAGAGTTAGAGGTTTAGAAAACTTATCGCAATGGCTTAATATATACAAAACTGTTGCAACTAACAGCTGGACAGTGGAGACAATAATCATTTCATTTCCATGATACACCCACACATACACAGTTGCATAAGCAAATACAAATATTATCAAGAGAAATCAAAGATTTTAACTGCACCCTAGAGAAATTGATCTCATTGATTTTACTTTTTGTTTCCTTATTTCGATTTTAGATAACAACAACAATGCTGTGCCATCATTGCTCTATGGGTATTTTATATATATGCGGAATATTGTTGTAAGCTCGTGTAAACAACGCTCTGAGTCTCCACATGTAGTATCCTGTACATAAGTGGTAAGTAACATTCCTTTATATATATGCCACTGTATGTGTGTGAGTGTGTGTCTGTGTTTGTTTTAGCTTATGAAATTGTTCCAGCTCAATGCCACGCTTGTTCGCTGCATTCTATGGAGGATTTACGGTGTTGTCGTGTTTATTATTCCAACCACGGCTACAGCATTTATTATACAGCGCAATAATATTGTCTATGCATACAAACATATGCCTTCACACATACACACAAATATAGATACACATGAATCTACTCGCCTGTGCTGCTGTTGCAAGTGCCCCAGGCTATGATGTACCGAGCCGTTTGGCCTTTAGGCGTGTAAAGGAAAAATGACGCCAAGGCAAAAGCATAGGAAATACCTTTACAAGCACATAGATACATATATTTTCATATATATGCACAAAGACACATACAAAATATCGCTTCGAAGGCAAATCTGTACTCTTTCTCGAGTGAGAAATTTTTTTTTTTACTTTTTCCTAATTTTTGCAAAAATTTCTGTTATTATCATTTTTTCATGCATATATACATATGTATATACATGCATTCACATATACTTGTATGTATGTATGTACATGCCGTCATTCACTTACTCCCGATAATTGCTTTGCATTGCCATCCATCGATTGGCGCTCTTTCAGGATTCCAATAGAATTTTGTAAGCGTCTTCTTGCGCTGAATGTGCAATAATTACAGTTGTCTAATTGCATGCTGCATTCATATAACGGTTTCTGTATGTGTTCCTTTTCTTTCGCCCAACATATTGCCGGCCAACAGACTGACTGCATGAACAGTCTTTTAATGCAACAAATTCACTTAAAATAATTAAAAAGATTTGACAGCAAAAATGGATTTTTTTGTGTGTGTTTTTTCAAAATATTGACATTTTCCTGCATTTTGTTGTTGCAATTTTAGATTTTCATTCAATTTCGTGAGACATCTTTGCAGTTGCTCATATTTTGTATTTATTGCTGCTGAGATTATGATTTTCTCAAGACATTTTGCTAATTGAAGTAATGGACAATTTAATTACTTTCAGTTTTCAACTGCTTTCACTTCAGTTAATTGAATTACATTCTAAATTGACAAACAATCGAAAAGAAAAGTGAAAGCTCGTCGTATTTTTTGCTTCTAAATCTCTTTAGAAATTCTTATGAAAAAAGGAAAGTAAAAAACATATATTTATTATTGATAAATTTTTTATTTATTTATTTATTAATCGAAAATCTAACATATTAATATTGGATGAGTGCATAAGTTCGTGCCCGATTCCGCTGGATGCCGTTCGAATCGTTTGAGAGTGGCGCTCGTGAAAGAAATATATACATATTATATATCGTTGGAAAGGTGTCAGTCCGAACTGTAAATCAAGCATAAAATAACTTCATTTTGATTTGAGTTGCTTAGTGAAAAGACGCATGGAAAATGGACAACGAAAAAGATCATATGCGTCATATTATGTTATACGAATTCCGCAAAGGAAAAACAGTAGGCGCTGCAACTAAAGATATTCGCAAAGTTTATTTGTACCGTGCTCCAGCTCTCCGCACAGTAAAGAAATGGTTCGCGAAATTTCGTTCTGGACGGAAGAGGTTGCCAGTGAATTGAACGTCAACAAGTCAACTGCGTTTCGTCGTTAAAAAAAGGTTGGGTACACTTTGAAGCTCGATGCATGGGTGCCACATCAGTTGAGTGAAAAAAAAAACAAAGTGGACCGTATATCAACAGCAATTTCTTTGCTTTCACGGATCGAAAACGAACCTTTTTGAATCGGCTCGTGACTGGTGATGAAAAATGGATCCTGTACAACAATGTTCAACGCAAAAGAACATGGAAACAGGCACACGAAGGGGCGGAACCGATGTCGAAAGGTGGATTGCATCCGATGAAGGTACTGCTGTGCATTTGGTGGGATATCCGAGGCGTGATCTATTTTGAGCTCTTGCCAGCTGGAGAAACGATCACTGCCAACAAGTATTGTCAGCAATTGGTCGAATTGAAGAAAGCAATTGATGAAAAACGTCCGATTTTGGCCAATCGCAAAGGAGTTCTTTTCCATCATGACAACGCCAGGCCACATGTTGCAAAACCGACCCTGGCCAAACTGAAGGAGATGAATTGGGAAATCATGCCGCATCCCCCATATTCACCCGACATTGCACCTTCTGATTATCATTTGTTTCGATCGCTGCAGAACAATTTGAATGGAAAAAAATTTAAAAATGTGGAAGACGTCAAAAACCACCTTGACACCTTTTTCAACGAGAAACCGCGCGATTTCTATGAATCAGGCATCCGTAAATTGGTTGAACGTTGGGAGTGGATTGCCGAACATGATGGCGAATACATAATTGATTAATAAAAGCGCTTTCTTCAAAAAATTTCAATTTTAGTTTGGACTTGAAATCGGGCACGAACTTATGCACTCATCCAATATTATGACAAAAACAGTTATTTCCGAAAAAAAAATTTTTTTCTAAGAGATGTTTTGAAAAAGTTCCGATTTTTTTCCATAACTTTTTGGATGTTGGTACGACGGCATCCGAATGTCAATTCGCCATGTCAACGTCTCTTGGCTGCGGCCGACTTAGATACTTAAAAAATGTTTTTCTTCTGGAAAGAGACCAGCTTCTCTAAGCTGTAACACAGTTTCTTTTTTCAGAGGAATTTTTACCAAATGTACGCCTTGTTGCTGATTGCTGAAAATATCTGCACACGCAGCCTAGCCGGTGATGCTTCATCCAGCGCTCTGAGCGAATGCCCCTTTTGCTTTTTATGAGAAAAAAAACATTACAAAAGTAGTTCATCCATGCACAGCTGGACTTCTTCACTGGTGAACACTTTTTTAATATCAAATACTCAAGCAGAGACTACAGAGAACCAAGAGATCAATTTGTTTTTCATCTGGAATAGCAGCTCTAAATGCTACAGCAACAACAATTTAAAACCAAAAATCGAAATTTACAATTTATCTCTGAATGAATATTCTTCTTCATCAAAATAAATACCCAAAGCAAAAAGATTATTATAAGAATAGATATATATATACATAAGTAGATATGTATGTATGTATGTGTTCGAAAAGTATGCCTAGAGTATTTATTCGCCTGCAGTTGCAAACTGTTTGGGCATTGTCATCAGGTAAAAGCCATAAAGGAGTCTTTAATTATTCATAAGTGCTTCTGCGGCAAATGCATTGTTTGTGTTTACCTAACCTACACACGCACACATACTATATGCACATGTGTATAGAGAGAGTTTGGCATATATGTTTGTAAGTATATATTTATATATTTACATACATACATATGTACATAAGTGTAAATGCAAGTTAAGTTTAACTACTTGAGTGTGTCAAGTGTAACGGTATTTGTTTACGACAAACATTAAGCACACATCTCACCATGTACATATGTATATAAGTATGTACTTACATAGATATGTATTTATGTATTTACCGGTGCGTAAGTTGGTAAATACTTGTCAAATTGAGAAGTACTTGAACACGTCTTCGATGTCTTCATATTACAGTGCGTCTTCTCTCTTCTTCTTCTTCTTCGTCTTCTTCTTCCTCTCCTTCTGCTTCTCCTTCAACCAACAACTTCAACATTCTACAATCATCAACAAATGCAGTTGTCATAATTATTGTTTTGTGGCCGGATATAGAGCGGAAAGTGCTTGGTTAACGCTCCACCAGCAAGCAGGTACATACATACATACACGTATATCAATACATGGATGCATTTATATTAGTTGCAAACACTTGCCAACCTTTCATTGCATCGTTGAGACCAACGAGCTTCCTTAACAGCAACAACCGGTGCCCTTTTCTGCTCCCTTACGCTCGCTATCCTTCTCTCTCTCTCTCTCTCTTGCTGGGCCCTCAATTATGATGATTGCCACTGCGGCGACACTTGTCAACAAATCTTGCATTTATTACTGCGCAACAGCAGCTAGTGCGACAACAATAACGGCAACAACAACAGTACAATAAACCAACAACAACATTTATACATAGCAATAATCATAAACGTGACAATAGCAATATTTGGCGGCAACAAAATCATCATCAACATTGCCTTAACCTCAACCATCAACTGTGTATGCTGTTGCCATTATATATTATAATTACACACATATAACGGTATTTTATTTTTTTGACTACATTGCTGCTGCTTCTGTATGTCTATGACGCTATTATTGTCGCATAAAAACATGACAACAGTTGCAATTTAGCGCAGCGGTAATATTCAATGCTTCTGCGCGCACAACTACATACATACATACATACCTCTAGCTCAAGTGATGAAGTGTTCAGATTGAAAGAGCTCAACTCTCGTACCATATTTTTGTGAAGACACATACTTTCTCAACTTTTAGATAATAATTTATTTGTCTTTATGACTTCATTTGCCGTTATCTATGAATACTTGCTGTTTGCATTTGATTTACAATATTTTCCTTTTGTTGCTTTTGTATTTTGTATTTCCCTCTAAGTCGACAATGTCATTTAAGTCATAAATTCTTGTCAGTGCACAACACTTAGTTATAACTGTTAATTATTTTCAAGCTGCTCCCACTGATGTGACGTATTTCTCAGATGATGTTCGAAAGAGAAAAGAGACAAATAAGAGAGAACAGATACCAGGTCATCTCATCTTAAAATACATACTTCCTCTGAACTATTGCCTATCATTTACGACGCTGGGTGACTTTAATGCCGAAGGAAATAAGGCGTCTTCAGTAGAAGAATACGAAAATTCAGTTCTCTTGACGAAAAATACCCCCTGAATGAATTCTTCAAAGCCCGAAATACGTTTGCCTAAAATACCAGATTCCGATACAAGAAAACTTGTAAAGCTTGTTTGGTTCGAAAAACACGCAACCAGATCGATCATGTAGTGATGAACGGTCAACACGCCTCCAGTGTTCTACACGTGCATGCGCTCTGCGACTCTAACATCCAGTAGCAAAGACACAAACCAGTCTCTCTGCAGCAGGGAAAGTCTTTTAAAGACAAGGTAGATTCGACCTCATAGGCCGCAAATATAGTAAACAGCCAAATGGGTTTTTACTCGACTCGCTCACCTGAGAGCACTCATCGGCAACTCGATATAAGGGTGTTGTGGAGGGAGTTCCAAGATCTCCGTGTACAGTATTCAAAGGAAACATTGATCTTGGATGAAATCCGAAGACTGTTATTAAGTGCTAAGAAAAACTATACCCCAGAAGTAATGCTCAAAATTGTATGTTAAATGGCGGTGATCTACAGAAGGTCTCAAGAGTGAAGCATCTTCATGTTGGAAGCAAATTTATGATCTGTCGACTTATATCTAGTAATAGCTATGTCTATGTTGTCATTTCATTACCTTACTATGATGGAGTCTGCCAATTACCACGGCATAAGCATCCTTTATATCTTTTTATATTGACTAGTCTGATACCCATCCCCATCACATGAGACAGACTAAAGTCCTGGGAAAAAACACTCTTCGACGCCTTAAGAACTTACTACCCGACAAGCACTGCGTGATCAAGAAGCATGTACCCACAACAGTGGTATACGTTTTGACGAAAAACTCCCAGCTTTGAACCCTTAGGCAATAAATATAGCATTAATTGCCATTGGTGCCAAAGCCCCTCTAGTTGACACCGAAAATACTGTATTGATCTAGAAGCCTGTACCACAGCCGGTGGATAGGTTTCAAAAGCAGACTTTCGCGCCAAACTTTCCGTTCAGCTTCAATTCATCAGGGAAAAAGTTCAGTGCTCTTTTTCTCCGGCTGCGGTAAGCTCTTCAGTCCTCTCGCGAAGACATTATATTAAATATGAAGCCACTC